ATAGGAAACTGTAGCTCTGTATACTTTGTTTCTATCCTCTGAATTGTGTTAATGTTTTCTTTCTTTAAATAAAAAATATACCTCTTACATTTATACGCCAGGTCTCCAATAAACACAGTTTGAAAATACATGAAAAGCTGAAAGCTGTGCTTTGTTGTGTTATGCTAATTATTGTGAACAATAAAAATCTCAGTGATTCAGTGCTCATTAGAATCTACTCATCATGACACACTGCTCTCCTTTAGATTAGCTACCTTTACCAGTTAAAAGTATCCGAATCGGTATTGGCAGTACTGTATTTGCAGCATCACACGACATTAATGCCAATCACCTCATCCGTCACTGCTCCTTGAACTCCCTCAGCAAAGAGCACGACCCAGTGCAACAGGGATCATACCCCAGCAGATGCTAGTGGTAACATAAAAAAGGACACTGTCACACCGGATTGGAACAGTTAATAACACACTTGCATATTTGATCTTTTTTGATTGGCACTGAATAAGCAAGAAAATCAGCCTCTGGCTGGATGTTAATGTTACTCTGAATCTGCTGGATGAAAAAAAAGGGAAGTTTAAAGACACAGCAGCCACACACACACTCCATCAGTCGGTCCTCTCTGGGTTTAAACAGTGTCTGTAAATCAGCTTCATTCGTGTCACATTCACTTGTAATGTTTCACTTTTCACATCTGTGATGTTTCTGGACAAAAGGTGTAGCAGCAGCTTGTGCTGTTCGTTAAACACGACCTCACGCCGTAGCTTGGTTTGCATTTCAACTGATATAAAGGCTCAAAAGTAACACACACGTTAGGATTTCAGTGAAAGGTAATTTTCCCATTATCTCTCTGTTCCTACCTCTTTGGTTCCTTTTATTTTTTATTACCATCGTGCCAACTTTAACACACGACAGACTGCCTTATTTGTGCTTAAATTTCTTGTGTGATAAGGGAAACTTTTAGATTAGAATCCTCGTATCCTTGGGATGTTTTCATGCAGTGTGGCTTAATTAGTGCCATCTTTTTGTGCATGTTATCATGATAAATCATGTCCTGATATTGAGTTACATGTGAAGATATTTTCTTTTCTATTAATCGTAGTATAAGAAAATTGTTAAGGAAATAACAGAGGAGTGTAGTTTTAAAGCACCATTGCGTTTCACCAGCGTGCGCCGTAATCTAGTGGATAAAACCTCATATTATGTTATCTGAATTTGGTGTGTGCAGTCTGCCATCCACATCTAAACGAAGCAGCTGGTGACTTGCAAACAATCACGTAAAAACATGTGGCCAGCAATGTGCCATGAAAAACTAGCCAGCCACTTCATGAAGGCAAAAAAGGATCAGTGAACCTGGAAACTCACCCACTGGGTGAAAACCCATTATTCTTAGTCTGCAGTGCAATATTTCCTTATTACCATGCAGCATTCATATCTTCCACAAGTGCTCTCACAGTAATGGTTTTGCAAATCTTGCCAATATTGTTTTCCATCTGCCATCGATTGAAGTGCAATATGAGACGATACACTGGGCATTTCTTTTGCAATATACACCCATATTTAGCATGCTGTGCATGTTTTATGTAGTGGTGAAAGAAAGTGTGGGCTTATTCCTAGTCTCGTCTACTCTCTGTGTAATTATCAATTACAACTTTATTTCCCAGTGGAACAATAAGTCACTGTGTGCGGTGGAAAACGTTGATCCAGCTGCTGTGCATTAGCGAAACATTGTCTGTGTACCGTTGCTACGGTGAGACAATGACAGGGAGAAATAAGGAGCTTATGTGTTATACTGTATATCAAGTTAAATGTTCACGCTCAGCGAACAATCGACGTATGTGATACAGTGTGAAGCACATAATCCGCCCTCCTCGGGGAATAGCCGTGACTGTAAAGTCTGCATTGTGCGAATTCAAACCTTGTTGAGATCCTTGACTGAACTGATCTTTGAAAATAGTGGTGCTTAATCAGATGACATGATTTGTACTTTTACCCTGGCCGCACTGCACTTCCTGCCTTTTTGTCATCACTGTGAGACTCAAATCTTTTAAAGGAGTGACTGAGATCCCTGTCAGTGGTTTGAATTGGTACCTGAAACACAAATAAAGCTCAAACATCTCATTTCGTTTTCAGTGTAAATGTCCAACTCGCTGTCAGCTGTTTTGCTGTTTTAGAGTGCAGTGAGCATGTACTTGATGTGGAAAAAACAAGCAAAAAACATAACACCAAATTTTTAGGTTCAATGGGTTTCTTTATGTAATTTAGTCTTTTTTGCCAAAAAGTTGCTCTTCATCTGCTGGCACATCATCGTTTTGCATGAGCACAAGTTACATTATTTTCTCTTGTTGCCTCTTTCAGCAGTTTCAAATGATGGTGTGAATTCATTAGTTAGTGCTTATCTCCAGGCTAACATGTTTGTATAAACAAATAGAACCAAACCCTGTAGTGGTAGCGCTTTAGAGTTTGGATTCCTGCTTTAAGTATAGCACCACAGGCACCCAGATTTCTGCTAGCACATAAAGAAACACAGATAAGCCTGTTTATTATTAGAAAACTGCACTGCCCAGTGAAAGCAGCAAAAGCTTTAGCCCCTGACTCACTTTGTTGCTTTCTCTCAGTGGTGACTCATGTAAGCTCACTTAGACGTGCTGGTGTAATTCCCTAGTGACACTTTTAAAAGTGCCTTTTATTTAATTAAAGGTGGATTTCCAGCATAATATTTAAAGTAATGTCTGCTTTTTCTTTACATTGTGAGGAGAAAAAGAAATTAACTTCTATTCCAGCTCTTTCACCGTATACCTTTGTCAGAAAGACAGTAGAGCAAACCTGAGAAAAACAACATGAAAATGAGCCTGACAATCGCAGAAGTGCTCATTAACCCACAGCTATAGATATGAAAAAGTATAAAAACTCACTATTTTTGCTTTAGCACAGCTGATGAGCAGCACTAGAAGGAGTATGTTTTAATAGAGATAGATAGTAGAGAAAGAGAGAACACCTCACCTTGGTGAGCCTACACTGCAATAGGTCTAGGCTGCTAGGGGATTCCCATGATGCAGTGAGTGTTTCTTCTTCAGTCACCTTTCTTACTCACTATATGTTTATACACCTCTCTGCATTTAACCATTACTTTTTATTAATATCTCCCTCAGCATGTCTTTGTCCTGTCTTTATCCATTAACTGGCAACTGGTCACGGCAGATGGGCGCCCCTCGCCTGGTTCTGCTGTTTCTTCCTGTTACAATGGAGTTTCTCCTTCCCACTGTTGCCAAAGTGCTGTATAGGAGGTAATATGATTTTTGGTGTTTTCTCTCTTTTCTTTGTATTATTCTAGGGTCTACCTTACAATATAAAGCATATAAATTGAATTGAATTGAATTGAATTGATGAGACTTACAGCAGCTGGGAGGATCAGGAGTGTTGCCATATATAAACTCCTCTCAGCTAATGTTTACAATTACAGCGGTAGCAAATTAGAGATTGGTGGCCAGTTTGCATATCAAACAGCGCTGAGGAGGTGCTGGTGTGATGGGAAGTGTTTATTCAGCAAACAGCAGTTTAATTGGGAAAATAATTTTCCAGCTGCTGCAGATATGGGACAGAGCGTGTCTGTGCTATTCTGTATGTGTGCATTTACAGTACTTAGTGTGAGGCTTATGAATAATTAAAACCAGCCAATGGGAAATAATAGCCCTAGCTTTTTTCACTGGCCTCCATCATGATAAGATCACCAGCCACACACTGTCTTTAATAGACCTGTCAGGATTCACTGAATGTGTCAGCTGCCATTCTGTGCCCGACGTCTAATTGATCCTCAGAGAGATTGTGCGCAGAGAGAACTTCTCATAAAGTGTGGGAACCCACAAGCATTGGCAAAATGTTTGAGACTCAGCTATAAGTCCACATGCTATACAGAAAGAAAAGCTTAAACTGGGGCAGTCTTGATTCCTGATTAATGTAACAGTAAGCAGTGGAATAAATAAGAAGCGGTGATTTGAATCTTCCTGATTTCTTTGATTTTTGCACATTTGTCACACGTACATGTTTCTTTAGATTCGTAGATAGTTAAATCTAGTTCATTCATAATTCATGTTAATTCATGAATGAAAATCCTGATACAGCAAAGAAGCCCCAGACCATCCCACTACAACCACCATCTTTAACTGTTGGTTGATGTTCTTCTTATGTAATGCTGTGTTAGTTTCACTCTAAATGTAGCAGGACTCAAACCTTCCAAAGAGTTACTCTTTTGTCTCTTCCAGAATAAAAGTCCACAGAATATTTTTCCACAAGTCTCGGGGATCATCCAGATGTTTTATTTGCAAATTTGTCCTTTTTGGTCAGCAGTGGTTTTGTCCTTGAACACCATGGATGTTTGCCCAGCTTCTTTCATTTTGAATTATGAACTTTGACCTTAACCGAGACAAGTGAAGCCTGCAGTTCTTTAGATGATGTTCTTGGTTCTTTTGTGACCTGGATGAATTGTCAGCCCTTTTGGAGTAATTTTGGTGGTGTATGTACAGTTACACTTCTGGGAAATTTTACCACTAATCCAAGTGTCTCCATTTGTGGTTAATGCCTGTCACCGTGGTTCACTGGAGTCCCAAAGCCTTAGAAATGTGTCTTCAACTCTTTCCAGTCCTTTAAGGTCACTTCCTTTTGGATCATTGTGCTCCTGTTGCATGCTACTAAAAGTCCTGCTCTGACCATGTGCATATAAGGACTAATGTGATGCAAGGTACATGCTCCTGTCATGGTACTGGGATCTTGATTTAATATTCCTTGATGATTGTTATTCCTGTTTTTGGTTATAGTTTGTTTGTGTTTTGTGATCTTAGTTCTTCCTCCTTTTGTATTTTTCTTAGCCTGTGTTTAGTCTCTGTCCCCATGTTTTCTATTTACATGACCTGGTTCCACATCTCATGTCTAGTCTCCCTTGTCTGTATATGTTCCCTCTGTTACATATCTCTGTCACGGTTGTTAAAGAGTGGACTCAGGCGCGGAGCTCAGAAATAATGACAGTGCATTTATTTACAGTGCAGCAAGGTGACAACAGTTCAAATGTGCAACAATGGTGATAGTGCGTCCCTCCTTCCGTGTAAGCCCGTGTGTGGTAGTGAGTGCCCGTCTCTCCTCCAAGTGCTTCCTTAGTGTCCGTAAATCCTCCGTCAATCCCTGGGTGCACACACACACACACGACAGCAGAATGAGTACGAAGATCAGACAGTACTTCAATAACGTTAGCGACTCGAAAACACTACCAGGCTTAGTGCAATACTCCAGCGCTGTCTGTCGCTCAGCCACACCATTAAGTAGCCCTGCTGAAGATGGTAGTTGATTGGCAGCAGCTGGTGGATTGACTGCAGGTGCGGCAGCTCCGGGCGACAGCACTTCCGGGTCGGAGGTAGCCTGTTGCTAGGTTACCTCGTAACACATCACAGCGGAGCCGGAGGGGAAGACAGGGCGGTAGGAGAGACACATACACACGCACACAGATATACACACACTGGCAGGTCGACCGGTCAGGGCGCCGTCAGATCCTGACAGTATCCCCCCTCTAATGGGAGCCACCTGGCGACCTACCAAACTTGTCAGGGTGCCGGCGGCGGAATTCTCTCACCATGGCGTCATCGAGAATTGCAGACCGCGGCACCCAGGAACGCTCTTCCAGACCATACCCGTCCCAATCCACCAAAAACTGAAAGCCCCTACCGTGGCGCCGGGCATCCATAATGCGGGTGATGGAGTACGCCGGGGCGCCGTCGATAATCCGGGCGGGTGGCGGGGGCCCGGGAGGCGGGCACAGCGGGCTAGTCCGAACAGCCCTCACCTGCGAGACATGAAAAACATTGTGAGTTCGCATGTTACGAGGCAGGCTCAACCGAACCGTCACTGGATTCAACACAGTTTGGACAGGAAATGGGCCAATGAACATTCTTGGGCACTGGCCACTCAACCACCGCCTTGACCTTAGCTGGGTCCGCACGCAGCCGCCCCTGTTCCACCACAAAGCCCAGGAAAGACACAGTTGGAACATGGAACTCACATTTCTCAGCCTTCACAAACAGGCGATTCTCCAATAAGCGCTGCAGTACGAGCCTCACATGCTCCACATGTTCTGCTGGGCTCCGGGAAAACACAAGGATGTCGTCTAGGTAGACAAAAACACAGTGGTTAAGGAGATCATGCAGCACATCATTAATCATAGCCTGGAAAACAGCAGGGGCATTGGTGAGCCCAAAAGGCATCACCAGGTACTCGAAATGTCCAAGGTGAGTGTTGAACGCTGTTTTCCATTCATCCCCTTCACGAATCCGTACCAGGTGGTAAGCATTGCGGAGGTCCAATTTGGAAAAAACCGTGGCGCCCTGGAGGAGCTCAAAGGCGGATGCCAGCAAGGGCAAGGGGTACTTGTTCTTGATCGTGATCTTATTCAAACCCCGGAAATCGATACATGGCCGGAGCGACTTGTCCTTCTTCGCCACAAAGAAAAATCCCGCGCCCAAAGGGGAAGTGGAGGGTCGAATGATGCCGGCCGCCAAGGAGTCATTAATGTACCGTTCCATCAACTCCCGCTCAGGCTTGGAGATGTTATAAAGCCGACTGGTGGGCAAGGGAGCGCCGGGAATCAAATCAATGCCACAGTCGTACGGGCGATGGGGCGGAAGCGAGGAGGCTTTGTCTTTGCTAAAAACCTGGGCCAGGTCATGATACTCAGGCGGAACACCAGACAAATCAGGAGGCGCAACAGGCTCCGCGGAGCCAGCGACCGTCGCACCAAAAGTCGCGGAGCGCAAGCACAAAGCGTGACTCTGACCGCTCCACCCCGAAATACGGCCCGTGGCCCAGTCGATCTGCGGATTATGTTGTTGCAGCCAGGGATAGCCCAACACAAGGGGAGCATCAGGAGATTTAAAAAGAAACAAACTGAGCTGCTCCGAGTGATTGCCAGAGAGGGTGAGTGTGATGGTTCGAGTGCGGTGAGTGACCGTAGTCAGAGGGCTGCCGTCAAGAGCCGAAACCTGGAGAGGTTCAGGGAGAGGAACAATGGGTACGACTAATTTATGAGCTAGTGATTCATCCAAAAAAAACTCTGCTCAGCTCCAGAGTCAATCAGCGCGCTACACGGGTGAGTAAGGGAATGAAAAATCAGCTTGGCCGGACAACTGAGATGGGGAACAGAGTTAGCCGTAGCACCCGCCAGTATCCCCACAGCTACTGGCGGGCGGAGTCTTTTACTCGCTTCGGACAGGTATCAGCCCAGTGTCCCCTTTTCCCACACACGAAGCACTCACCCGTGCACTGTCTTCTCCTCCGATGCGAAGCACCGAACCGAGCCCGGCCCAGCTGCATCGGCTGTTCCTCATCCTCCGCTGGGTCTTCTTCTTCCTCTCGCCAGTGAGAAGGAAGCAACCCGGTAGGCGCATCGGCGCCCCCTGCCAGCCGTCGTCCTTCACCTGCCTGTCTAACAAACTCTCTCATATGATTATCCAGTTGAATGCACATATTAATCAAAGCGCTAAGGGGTTTAGGTAGCTCTTTCGTAGCTAACTCACGTTTGAGTTCTTCGTTTAGGCAGTTCAGGAAGGCTCCCCGGAGTGCGTTTTCTGCCCAGCCCGTCTCCTCGGCCAGGATCCAAAAGTCAATGGAGAAATCCGCGACACTCTTACGTCCCTGCTTTAGGGTAAACAAACGATTAGCAGCGCCATCTACATCCGTTCCTTTATCAAACACACAGCGGAACTTGGTCAGAAAATCCTGGTAGGAGATATTCGGTTGAACATTTAAAACGGCTTGTGCCCATTGCAGCGCCCGGCCAGTCATCAATTCCACCATAAGCGTGATCTTCACACAATCTGAGCCGTAAGCCTGTGTCTGTTGTCTGAAAATCAATGAACACTGCATCAGAAAGCCTCGACTCTTTGTTATATCTCCATCAAACTTCTCCGGAACCGGTAATGTATGTTCTCGCCTAGGTGGAGGTGGTGGAGGCGAAGGGGGTAGTGGGCAAGCTGCAGCCACACTTACTGATGGAGTGGGTTGTGGATTTTTAGCTGAGGTGCCGGGCGCGGTGAGTAACATACATTGAATGTTTGCAAGCACCTGTCGCATCGCTGTTTGTTCCGTCATGATGTGTTTCATCATGCTCTCATGGCGGTCCAAAACTTCGCCCTGAACAGAGAGCTCTTGCTGAACTGGGTTTGAGTCCGCTGAGTTCATGGCTGGCTGGAGTATTCTGTCACGGTTGTTGAAGAGTGGACTCAGGCGCGGAGCTCAGAAATAATGACAGTGCATTTATTTACAGTGCAGCAAGGTGACAACAGTTCAAATGTGCAACAATGGTGATAGTGCGTCCCTCCTTCCGTGTAAGCCCGTGCGTGGTAGTGAGTGCCCGTCTCTCCTCCAAGTGCTTCCTTAGTGTCCGTAAATCCTCCGTCAATCCCTGGGTGAACACACACACACACGACAGCAGAATGAGTACGAAGATCAGACAGCACTTCAATAACGTTAGCAACTCGAAAACACTACCAGGCTTCTTTAAGTTGCTTGAAGACGTTTCACCTCTCATCCGAGAAGCTTCTTCAGTTCTAAGGTCAAATGGTGGAGAGTCCCAGATATAAACCTAGTGGGAGTGACCCCCCACAGAGGGACAAAAGGACCCCCTGATGATCCTCTAATCGCCTGAGCCAAGGTGTGAAACTGGGCGTGGGTCCCAATCAGCCAGAGTTTCGGGTGTGTTCATTGTGAAACCTGGCCCCACCTTATCATGCGAATTCCTGAGGTCAGATGGCCCAGGATGTGAGTGGGCGTTAAGGCGTCTGGGAAGGGATCTCAAAACTGGATTATAGATGGATTATAGATTATCAGGGGATCCTTTTGTCCCTTTGTGGGGGGGATACTCCCACTAGGTTTATATCTGGGACTCTCCACCATTTGACCTTAGAACTGAAGAAGCTTCTCGGATGAGAGGTGAAACGTCTTCAAGTAACTTAAAGAAGTCCAGACGCTTTTCTTTGCAAACTCCTTTGACTACGATGACCTGGATGACTGAGAACCTTCACAGACATACTACCAGGCTTAGTGCAATACTCCAGCGCTGTCTGTCGCTCAGCCACACCATTAAGTAGCCCTGCTGAAGATGGTAGTTGATTGGCAGCAGCTGGTGGATTGACTGCAGGTGCGGCAGCTCCGGGCGACAGCACTTCCGGGTCGGAGGTAGCCTGTTGCTAGGTTACCTCCTAACACATCACAGCGGAGCCGGAGGGGAAGACAGGGCGATAGGAGAGACACATACACACGCACACAGATATACACACACTGGCAGGTCGACCGGTCATGGCGCCGTCAGATCCTGACAATCTCAGTGTGAAGCCTGTATCTCTGAGTCTGTCTTTGCATCGTGTTTCCTGTTTTACTTTGACAATCTGTGTCCTATGTCAGTGTATCATGCTTTGCTTCCTGTGCCTCGATTAGCCCCAGCTGTGCGTCCCTCCTGATTTCCATTCCCTCGTTACTCCCTGGTGCATTTAAGCCCTGTGTTTCTCTGTTAGTTGTTGTGTTGTACCCTCACTGTGCTATTTTTCCTCCCTTTGGCAGCATTATGAAGTTTTTAGTTACTGGTTTGTTTTTCTAGTTTATGGTTAGTATTTAGTTTCTTTAGTCCAGTTTAGTTTCTGGTTTTCATGTTTTAGGTTTTAGTTTGTTTTTTGTGAAGTTTATTTCTTCTAAAAGTTTTTTCAGCAACAAAAGCTGCCGCTTTAACTTTCATTCTGCATACGATTCCTGCATTTGCGTCCAACCTCCTGCCTGCCAAAGCACACACCATGACATCTCCAAAAGTTGCAGGGTGCCAAATCTGGTAATTAGGGCTGTGGTTACTATTTTCATAGTGGGCTGTCTGTCCAACAGCTTAAACCTGGCCTAAACTAGGTCACGCAACAGGACAATGATCCCAAACAGAGCAGCAAATCTACAACAGAATAATAACAGAATCAATGTGCTACAGTAGTTCATCAAAGTCTAACATAAAGGTTGTGCTATGATGACATAAAATTTGATGTTAGCTCTCTGAGTGAGCTTCATGATGAAATTAGGATCTGGTCATCTGTAGGTAGCAGCACTAATGGGGGAATTCTATTGATTAGAGTTATGTACTGTCCTTGATGTTTATTGCTGATTGTTTGTGTGTGAGAGAAAGAGACAGGAAGAGAGAGTTACTCTGAGAGAAATTGGGAAAGACATCAAGCCCCAGAGAGCTTGAAAAGGGCGGAAAGAGCTACATTATCTAACTCTATTTACAGACTCATTATATGGTGCTTTTACCGACTCAGATAGAAACAGCTGTATAGTTCACCAAATTCACTGTCCAGTCTAACAAAACTTACAGGTGCTTCCCCTCCACTGGCTATTCCCTTCCTATTATTTCTTACCTTGGATCTGCCTGTGGTGGAGGAGTCATTAGGAAGTGAGCAGACTCACTTTGTCAAGGGAGCCGTACAGTCCCTTGGCCTTCAGGCTGAGTCAGGCTGAGCAGGACCTTTTATAGTGTTGCTTTCACAGAAAAGCGAGTGAAGAGTTGAGACACGAAAAGGATACCAGTAATGGGAGACAACGGTAATGAGAAAAG